GAGTTAATTTCCTTCCTAGTAGCTGGTACAGTGCTGTGTTTTGGATTTAGGATGAAAATAATGTTGATAACACACCGATGTTTTAGTTGTTGCTAAGTAGTGCTTACACTAGTCAAGGACTTTTCAGCCCCCCAGGCTCTACCGACTGAGAAGGCTGGAGGGGCACAAGAAGCTGGGAGGGGGCACAGCCAGGACAGCTGACCCAAACTGGCCAAAGGGACATTCCATACCATGTGACGTCATGCTCAGTACATAAACTGGGGGAAAGCTGGACGGGGGGGCCGCTGCTCAGGGACTGGCTGGGCATCGGTCAGTGGGTGGTAAGCAGTTGCATTGTGCATCACTTGCTTTGTATATTCTTATTATTATTATTACTATTATTAGTAGTAGTATTTTATTTTGTTTCCATTATTAAACTGTTCTTATCTCAACCCACGAGTTTTCTCGCTTCTACTCTTCCGATTCTCTCCCGCATCCCACTGGGGCAGGGGGAGCGAGCAAGCGGCTGTGTGGTGCTCAGTTGCCAACTGAGGTTAAACCACAACAAGCCTGCAGCAAATGTTACATCAGTGTTACCAGTGCAGGATACAGCTACCTTACCCTCGAAATGTCCTGGGAATGACAGAGGACCTGACTACAGAGTGCGCAGTCTCTCACGGTGGCCTGGTCTCCCACAGCAGTCCAGTCATGGTCCCTGAACTTCCCTCCCTGGAAGGAGCACTACTGGCCTTAGGAAAGGCAACACCATGAACTTAGCCGTGGCATCCCCACTGTACTCCAGAATTATCTTCATAGCCCAACCTAGGATACTGTCAAGTTCCTTGTGAAACAGGACATTTGTTACTGGTTTGAGCCTTTAGGATGTCTTCTTCAGAGTCTTGGTGTTTGTCTTGCCCCATTTGGGTTTCCTTTGGGCCTATGCTAAAAAGATTGTGCATGAACAACATAGCAGACCACACTATTTTCATCTGCCAGTGAGGGGCCCCAGGAACAGTGATTTCTCTGCTAACAGATGCAACATTTGTATCTGTGGCCTATGCAAAGACAGAGATTGATTATTGATTAATCTTATGTTGTATCTTTATGAGAGGATACATTACATAAAGCCGCTCAGCTTGTAAGGGGAAAAAAAACCCCAAACAACGTCCATACGAGGGCAGCAAACGCTCAGTACTGGAAACTTTTTTCACCCTTCCTTATCATTTTCAGGTCGAAAGCCAGCTACCGAATGATTTTTCTTAAACACTGTTTCTTGTTTTCAACAGTAAAACCTCAAAAGATTTTCCTCCCCAAAAGAAAGCAAAACCAGAGTTGAATACCTTCCCCTGAAGGACAAGAACACACTTCTTGTTACATATTTAATTTTTCAAACTCTCTAAAAAATAGCCACGTTATTGTCTATGCCACCACAAGAATGGAAAGTACTGTAAAAATATTCGTCCAAAAGAACCGTTTCACCTGAAAAAAATTCAAGTGGAGCACGTAAGGGTTAAACTCTCGATTAGCGTACCTTTACTGCTAAACTCTCGTTGAGAAAACGTTCAGAAAGGGCGGGAAATGCAGATGAGAAAGAAATTCAAGGAGGGGTAGAATTTCTCAGAAACACGATTGGACAGATTTTGCTGCAAGATGCTCCATTAAAAAAACATGAGGAGCTGCTGTTTAAAACACTGAAGCCACACGTGAGAATCAATGCAACCAGGTGAAATTGCAATACATAACACTTACCCATATTTTAAAATAACAATTATAGTAAAAAATCAAAGAGTAATTTAAGCGATTCAGTAACTGGGATACCTTTCTACGATAGAGGTTTGACTTCTAAATGATCACGACGTATCAACGATTTAAAAAAATATATAAACTATTATACACAGACACCCAATGTCTTTGCTATCTGAAGAAAATGAACGTACCGAAAAAGGGCAGCAACACCGAACCGCTTGTGCCGCGGGAAGGGAAACTCGCACGAAACCCGCATTTTTGTGCTAACGGGGCGCGCTGAAACGCATCTCTGGGCTCATCTACGACGCGCGGCGTGCTGAAGGTCAGGTCCGGCTCCCACCGCATAAAGGCCGCGGCGCGGCCGGCGGCGGCTCACAGCTCGGCGCGGGCAGAGTCGGCGGCATGTCCGGCAGAGGCAAGGGCGGGAAGGGGCTCGGCAAGGGGGGCGCCAAGCGCCACCGCAAGGTGCTGCGCGACAACATCCAGGGCATCACCAAGCCGGCCATCCGCCGGCTGGCTCGGCGCGGCGGCGTGAAGCGCATCTCGGGGCTCATCTACGAGGAGACGCGCGGCGTGCTGAAGGTCTTCCTGGAGAACGTGATCCGCGACGCCGTCACCTACACGGAGCACGCCAAGAGGAAGACGGTCACGGCCATGGACGTGGTCTACGCCCTCAAGCGCCAGGGACGCACCCTCTACGGCTTCGGCGGCTAAAGCTTTCCGCCCCCGGACCATCTCGAGAACCCAAAGGCTCTTCTAAGAGCCACCCGCTTCCTCCGAAGAAGAGCTGTGACATTCTTTTCTCTGTAAGGATATCTGGAATATTTGCTATCTAATTTCTAAAACTTAGTAACACTGGCGGCTATGGAACACTGCTAAAAGGTGTTATGATTAGATAAGTGCGATCTAACGTTTTAATTCGCTGTTACTGGCGAAGTTGTCTTTGCTGTGTAAAAGAAGCGCTTTTTTTCTCTGTACTCCTTAAATTTCCTTGCAAATGTTGTACCCCACTAAAAAGTCATTTCAAGTGCTTTTAGAAGTTAAAACAATGTTTTCTATACCTTTTTTTAATCTTCGCCGATTTAAACATAATTATCTGGAACATTGTTCAATGCCTTGTACTTGGAAATTTTCATTTAACTGAGAGTAGATAATCCACTGCAAGAGAGAAAGGGAAACCAATTCAGCACCTAGGGAAAGGTATACAAGTTGTTCTGAGATGAACGTTTTATTTCCGATATTTCTAAATAAACTTTTTTCCTTGCTATAACCCGTGCTCAGTTCCTTGTCTATTTTTTTTAAAGCAATTTCGGGAGTAAATCTCATATAGTTTTCTAGAGTACATGGGGGGGGGGGGGGGGTGGCCAAGGAGAGAAAATTATGTCCTTGGCAACGCATTTTAAGAAAATGCGTCAAAAGGAGTCTTGCGCGGAGGCTTTTCTCGCTCTCGCACAGAGAGAACGCTCCCCTCGGGGGAGCGCTTCTAAAGTGTTGTTCTTCTGTTTCCTTCATCACCGCAGGAAAAAACGGCAAAAACACTTTTTCAGGTTTAAAGAAAACTATCGGTAGTCATTGACCACTCGCCAACAACGGCGATCAATAAATATTGGCGGTCACTTCTGTTTTTCTCACAGCCTTAGCGAGTAAGGGCAAATTAAATAATAGATTAATTCCGTATTCCTTTTTAAGCACTTCATTTCACAAAACAAGGTCATTGTCTAAATGTTCTCAGTGTCACATTTTTACTTGACGGTACTTATGATCTCTCATGCCGATTTTCCTGGAGAAAAGAAAAATAACATGAGAAAAATAGCTTAAAAGATGCATCTCGATTGTTACAGCTGGTTACAGCCGCAAACTCGCGCTATGGGATTCCCTAAGCGCCCATCTCTGTGCTTCGAGGCACCGGACGATCTTTCCCTCGGGGATAATGTGCCTGTTCCTGTAAGAGGGAGCTCTGTACGGCATCGAAGGAGCCTTTTTCTTCTTTTGTAACCAGCCCACAACAAAACCAAAAATATCTATTAAAATAATGTGCGGTTTTAAGAATAGCTCCCGAATGTGAGCCTCCGCACGGCTTTTGGTCTGTCAGGAGCCTGGCGGGGAGGGAAAGCCGGAGAAGCAGAAGGGACGCGAGCGCTCTGTCTGAAACACCCCGCCCCCCCAGGCCTTCGACTGGCACGGAGGGAGCTCGGAGCGGGGCAGAAGGGGGGCGCGGGCAGCGGCGAATCCGGCTTCCTCGGGCCCAGGCTGGATTTTCAACGGTACCCAATGAGGTCGCGCTTCCTGTCGTCCAATCAGAGGCGAGGCGGCTCTATAAAGGCCGGCGCCGCGCTCCCTCTTTCACTGACGTCCATCTCTTTCCCAGGGAGGTTTGCGGGCGGTTGGCGATGGCGCGCACGAAGCAGACGGCGCGTAAGTCGACGGGCGGGAAGGCGCCCCGCAAGCAGCTGGCCACCAAGGCGGCCCGCAAGAGCGCGCCGGCCACGGGCGGCGTGAAGAAGCCGCACCGCTACCGGCCCGGCACGGGGGCGCCGCCGGGGC